TACAACTGCGACACCCGGATCTTAACCGAATTTGGAATATGATACAGAGTCTGGATGCGAAACACATCATTGTCCTTCAGCACAGGCAGGTAATCCTTGGTCAAGATACCACTGCCTTGTTGGCTCGGCTCTTCCTCAGAGCCATTACTAGACGAGGATGGACTACTGGCCCCTTTGAAGTCTTCCTCACTTCTCCTATGCCTGCTCAATCCACTCGGGCCAACTGCACTCGTCCTTGGGGTAGCCACACTAACTCCAGTTGGTACGCCTATCGGAATGCCCCCTCGGGAATCATCACTATAGTGGGGGCACGCTCATACTCATCAGCCACAATCCTGCTCGAGCTACTTGATTCAGAGTCTGACATGTTGGCCCGATCGTCTAGCCCGACTGACCGACTCGATCCAAGCTTCAAAACTCCCAGGAACCTAAGTGTCAAGAGACCGCTCGCCCTGAACACCCAACCAAACAAGGCCACAAACACCTAAATATCACTTGCCCTTCAGCACCGGTTGACCTATCACCATCAACCACTTGTCAACTCTTACAAGCCGAAGTTTCGGTCGACCCCCACTACCAACTAAACTAATCCTAGATCCAACAGTCTCCCCTTGTTCGGCATAGGCGACCGACTCGCCTTCAAGCTCAACCCTATGAATTTACTAGTCCTTGGCCACTAACTCACCAACTCAAACACCAACACTACCGCACCACCCGCTTGGTCTAGGTGACCGATCACCTTTTCAATCCACTTTGCACGCTCCCTCACCACTCGATCGGATGGACCAGATGACCTACATCTCCCACTAAACTCCCCAAGCTATCACACTATTCGGTTAGGCAGACCGACCGAACCAAATAGCACTTAACTCGACTTCGTCTTCCCTTTTTCCAGAGAACACTAGAAAACCGGAGAAAATCGCTGGAAACTCACCAGAAATCCAAAAATCCAAAAATCCAAGCCTATTCTAGAAAACCAAAACTCCAACACTTCTAAACACCTCAAAAACACAATCGAAACTACACAAACTTCATCCTATTTTCCAAAAACTTAGCAAACAACCAAAAACAAAAACGAAAACAAAGAAACAGACAGATGGCGTAAAAGAAGTGTTTATCGTGAAAAGCCAAAACCTACCGAGAAGACTACTATCGCTGGAGAAAAACTGGAACAAAGGCGAAAGGAAAGAAAAAGAAATTTTTTGTAGAGAAAATGAAAGAAATGCGCGAAATGGGAGACGAACCGTCTGCCCATTCGTTTTTAAAAGAAAAACTGATAGGTGAAGACACGTGGCATCCCACGATTGGCCAAGAGTCAGAGAGTCTTTTCACTTTCCTGCCTCGAAAACAAGGAGTCGATCCCCACCGAACACGTGGCAGGCATCCGAGGCACCCAGGAAATTGCAAGGCCGTACAAGAGCCGCGTTCCATCGCCCTGCCTTCCCAACCAAGCAGCACACGACTGCCCGAATGGACCCAGCATACCCCCATGATTCACAAGCCCATGAGATCCTCCCAACTGGTTAACCAGCTTGGAACGGCCCGGCCCGAGCTCTCTAAGGTAAAAATGGCAGGAGGCCTCACTCATTTGTTCTTCCATAGCAGACGAATAGACAGCCCTTGGTCGAGACTCGCACATTTCTTCCACTAGACCATCCCAGCAACTCAACCGAGCAAACCTTTAGTTTAATGTAGTCTCTAACTCATTCGACCCAGCATGCCGAGCGAACACCCCGACAACAGAAATACACCTCACCTCTCCTGTTGACGGGACGTATCGAACGAGCTCATGAGCCCCCAAAGCCTCGTGGTCTCAACCCCTTTGGCCCTTCACACCAATCAGACACACCACTTTGTAATGATGGCATACTCCGGATCAGTAATGGACACCGAACTATCCCTGACCAAAAACCACCTACAACAACCAGATCACCCATGCCGACAATCGGTCATCCAGGAAGGGAGATTGACCATGCCTCAATCGCTTCCTACTCTCTGACTTAAGAAAATCTTAACTCAAAGAGTGGGGGGCAAACTGTTAGGGCCAAAAAACATCCTTGGCCCAAATAGAAAAACGGGCTCGACAGTAAGGAAAAAGTCAAGCCCAATCCCAACGCGATCCAATCTGGATTAGGCCCATCTAGTACAAGGTACAGCCGGCCCAAACCATCCAGGCACAAGCCTCATAATCCCAGTTCACTTCCTGGATCCATGAGCGAATCCAGAGCCCACGGCCCTCACAGATCACTTTCCTATTCCTGATCAATCTCCTATTCGAGGTCACCTTCCTATTCATATCACTTTCCTACTCGAAGTTACTTTCCTGATCAGCATTACCTTCTTATCCGGACACTGGTAAGACAGTTCACCACCGCCCTAACTCTAGGGTTGTATCAGAATCACACTAGGACTTCTACTTCTATCAGGATTGGAAGACCAAACAGTCACTATATAAGCAGAGGCTAGCCCTCTCATAAGGGACATTACATTACACCTCCACACCCGAAGCTCTGACTTGAGAGCTTCATATCACTACCGTAGTCACAGTCCCTAACTAGACTTCCGGTAACCTCTCTACTCCCTAGCCCTTACTATACTAGCCTCTTCAGCCTTGCTGACTTGAGCGTTGGAGTGCCTACAGCAAACACCACCCCAGTGTTTCCCATTTGCTTCACGCGTTTGTTTCTCTACGTGTGTAGGTGCAACGGATCGCTAGTGGCCTCAACCTCACGGGATCAGACCCCCCTTCCGTACAGGTAGATTTTTAAGTCTATATTAATAAGTTTGTTAATTTACAAATTATTCATGTTTTCATCTCTTTGTATCACCCGTATCACATAAATGCTACGACAATTACTTTACCGGAGAGATTTCTATTTATTAAACTTGTGGTACTTTTGGGCAAAAATATCAAGAGATAACCCAAACCCTGAGGCCGTGCAGAACACATATGAGGGATAGTTTAGTTAATTGACAAGGATTACAATAGTATTAACTCTGGTTATTTATACAAAATATCTTATGTTAATTGACTAAATTACCCCTCTTACATTAACAGAGCTATACTACAAGCCTACAACGATCGGGTTTACGAGTACATTTTAAAATTTTCACTGAGAAGTGCCAAAAAATGAATAGACAAACTTCAAGGGCATTTTAGAAAATCTACCGATACTTTACTGTATATACAGTATTTATTTAATCAAATAAGAAGACAAAGACGTTTTCTCAAGAAATGTAATCATATTTCTCAAATGTCCCTAGAGCCCATCGCCACTTACAAATAAATTATAAATCTTCTCAAATGCATTGCACCTAGAGCTCAACGCCACTCACAAATAAATTATAAATTATCTGGGTTTAACAATTGACAAGCCCCAGTGAAATAAATTACTCTATTATGCGATAACTAATTATTAACCAAAATACCTTTTATCTAATTGTAGTATTCTTTTCAGTTTTGGTTTCTTCAGTTTTTATTTTAATGAGATGTAAAATTTATAATTTATTCTATTTTAAACAAGGAGGAGAGAACATTGTTCTCTTGAGAAAGTGTGGGACGTGAAACGTTTGGTTAACGGAAAAGAGTAGAGCTAGGCATTTGGGACCGGGCCCAAAAGCCCAGTTCCAAAACCCGGTCCTAGGATCAGTCCTTGAGAGGACCGGACCTAGGAGGCCTGGTCCCAAAACGGGACCAGGCCTAAGGAAGAGGGCCCAGGCCCTCCACTGGGGCCTCCTCCAAGGCTCGGGCCTGGGATCGGTCCTAGGCCTGGGCTCAAAATTTTTTGTATTTTTTCAATATAGTCCCCTACCAAATTACATAAAACCCCCTATTAATTTTAAAATAAATATAAATTATGAGGGCTAAAATAAAATTTTACAAAATTTATAAAAAAAAATCTTCCAAATCTAAAAAATTTATAAATTTTACCCCTAAAAAATACTAAAACCCCCCTATAAAATTTTATTTTGCCCCAAAAATATAAAAAAAATTAAGAGGGAAAAATAAAATTATCCAAGCCCCATGGGACCAGTCTTAGGACCGATTCTGGGCCCATGGGACCAGTCCCGACCAGGCCTAGGGCCTGGTCCGGGTCCTAGCTTTTCTCATGGGCCTGGGACCGGTCCCAAGCCTATGAGTGACTGGTCCCATTTGGAAAGTTAACAATAAAAATAAAAAAGCTGGCAATATATATATATTAACAATAAGATTGGGTTTTTCTGTAAAATTCACTAAGATGGCTTCAACCTCACATGCTGATTTGAAAAGTTAAAAAGACAAAAGGAAATTGCCCTCCTTCCTGGAAGATGACTAAACAATGAATTATTAAATCTTAAGACAGGTTTATTAAATCTTAATTTGTTTCCATAATTCCATCACATAATATTATGTTAATTTCTTAATTAAATTTGCACATCATTGATCTACGCTAATAAAAAGAGAAATATGCAAGCCATTTTTATGAGAAGTGGCAACCGAGAGGCCTTATTAGTTAATGAAATGTAGAATTAACGAGTTTTGAAAACAATGTTTTCATCTCTTTTATTTATGAATTCATATCTATTTAAATTCTAAGCTTTTTAAAAAATGAGAAAAAGAAATGGAAAGTGAATTAAAAAGTGATGGACAATGAATTGAAATAAATAAAGCAAGAAATTAAAGACTATGTTGAGGGGTCCGAACTTAGAAACAATGCCATAAGAGCCGTATCATTAATATATTTTGTTACCAAAAAAAATCCCACTTCATAGTATTAAAATACCAAAAGGCAAATGTAGCAATAGAAAAGGATGAGACACAAATACCCCACTTCACAGTATAAAAATTCAAAATTGAAAGAAAATTAAACAAGTTTGAATCCTAAGAAAGAAAGGTGGATGGCCATTATCAATTTATCATCCTCTCTCCAGCAGGCTTCCAGTCATCCACTGATGCCAACGCCAAGTACTTAAATAAAGTAGAGACTTAGTGAATATTTCCCAGTCTCCAAACACTCTGATTGCTTCAACCCAAGTACGATGGCTTCTTCTTCGTTTTCTCCTACTCAAGAAAAGTTCGATGTTTTTCTTAGTTTTAGAGGTGAGGACACTCGCAATGGTTTTATCAGCCACCTCAATGCTGCTTTGTGTCGAAGAAAGATTAAAACTTTCATCGACGATGAACTTAAAAGAGGCGATGAAATTTCACCCTTTCTTTTGTATGCAATTGAAGGATCAAAGATTTCAATTGTCATTTTCTCTAAAGACTATGCTTCTTCTCGATGGTGCCTCGAAGAACTCGTGAAGATCATGGATTGCAGGAAGATGCATGGTCAGATTGTGATTCCAGTTTTCTATCATGTAAATCCATCGGATATAAGGAAGCAAACCGGGACTTATGGAGATGCATTTGCTAACCATGAATACCGGCAGAGGGCAGAGATGTTGCAGATATGGAGGAGTGCTTTGACGGACGCAGCCAATCTATCTGGCTTTCACTCAAATGTCGTTAGGTGAATGCTTTCGCTTGATGTTTTTTTCTCGATGAAATTCAACTCTTTTACATATACATGCATATACAATTACTATCGGCTTTTTTTTATTATTTTTTTAATTTTTGTAAAGATAATATATTTCTGTGGTCTGATGAAGACATAACAAAATTGCTTAAATAAAAGTTCCTAAATTGGAGATCGTTTGATATCTAAAGACTAACTAATCTTTTCATAGTAAAATATCGTAAATTCATCAATAGAGAGTCGTTATTTTTCAGCATCAATTTTTACTGTATTGAGATATGGCATTAGATAGATAATAAAAATCTTATCACTTGAATTTCAGCTCTGTCACTACATTTGATTGATAACCAAACAACTAATAATTTTTCTGTTAAAAAGTTATATTTAGGTTTATTGTAGAAGCTTTATATGCCATAAGCTCTTCTTGAAGAGTTACAACCAAATGGGTCCATGTATAGTTATGTGATAACTGTAAAATATGGACTTTAATTATTGTTTGATGTATATAAAAAGGTTTGGATTGTGTAATCAAATAAATTTAATTGTAATCGTGCCCAAACTTTTTTAGTTTCAAGGATGGACAAAAGTGGGCTATTGGAACTTGTCTTTGTCTTTATTTCTCTAACATTTAAATTCACGCTTATTATTTTCTTTTTTACATTTTCTTTCAATTTTAGGCCTGAATCAAAACTTATAGAGAAAATTGTTGAAGATATTTTGAAGAGATTGAATATTATGTCTTCTAGTTATAACAAGAACTTGGTTGGAATTGCAATGAAGATTCAAGAAATTAAATTTTTATTGTCTATTGGGACGAATGGAGTATGCAAGGTAGGGATTTGGGGTATGGGTGGTATAGGCAAGACAACTCTTGCAAATGCAGTCTTCAACAAAATATCAAGGCAATTTGAAGGTTCTTATTTCATTCGAAATGTTAGGGAAGAATCAGAGAAACGTGGACTAATTCAATTGCAAGAAAAAATTCTTTCTACAATATTAGGGGATGAACACCACAATATATGGCATGCTTCCACAATAGAAAGGCTTCGAAGGACAAAAGTTCTCTTTGTTTTTGATGATGTAACAAATTTAAATCAAATAAATGAATTAATTGGAGACCTTGAAAACTTGGGTTCAGGAAGTCAAGTCATTATAACAACAAGAGATAAACAAGTGCTTGTAAGTTGTAGAGTGGATAATGCTACCATATATGAGGTCGAAGAATTACATAGTGATGAGTCATTTCGCCTTTTTAGCCGTCATGCCTTCAAAGAAAACGATCCTGTTGATGAAGATTATATGGCACTATTATAGAGTACTGAGTTATGCTAAAGGTGTGCCATTAGCTCTTAAAGTTTAGGTTGTTTCTTGCTTGATAGGGGAAAACATGAATGGGAAAGTACATTGAAAAATTGAAAATTGTCCCACCAAGATATCCAATCGTGGTTAAGATAAGTTATGATGGATTAGATGTTGAAGAGAAGGATTCATTCCTAGATTTGCATGCTTCTTTAATGGATGGGATGAACATCTAGTTCGTAAATTCTCTTCAAGTATTGGATTAAAAGTACTTATTGATAAGGCGCTCATAACTATTTCATACAAACCATAAAGTACATGATTTGCTTCAAGAAATGGGAATGGAAATTGTTCGGCAAGAATCCGTAAATAACCGGGGCAACGTAGTCGATGTGGCATGATAATGTGTCTATGGTGTACTGAAAAAGAATAAGGTAAATACAGAAAAAATAAGCTTTCAGTTTCATTTGCAAAATCTAGAAAATAATACTAGGAGATTATTATTTTAAATTTTCCTTATACATGAGTTCATGTGTTATTGAGATTGGGACTAGTACTATATATTTCAACTATTATTAAAGTCTTACGTTCCTTTCTTTATCGGAAACCAAAATTATGGGAAAAAAGGAATTGTAAAAGAAATTTTTGACGTCAGTAGCTTCTCTGCACATATTAGAATGAGTGTTCTTATATCAATTCTCATAGTACTGTTTTAGTACCCTTCGTCTTTTGCTCGATCAAAATTTTATGCTACATCTATAAGGAATTACTATACAGCCAAACAAAGGCCAAGCAGTGATCTTTGTTTGCAAACAAGGAATTTGATTTGTCTTATCAGTTATCTTTCTTATTCTGAGGATTTTTTTCGTCTTTTCTTTAATTCATAAAATTGGAAGATTAGATTAAAAATAGTTTGAAGAGGTGAGAGTTAATAAAACTGGACGTAAGAGATTATAAAATTGGTATTTTTGAAATAATTAGATTAATTTATAAAACCTAAGGTTTTAAATTAATCTTATTTAAATTGGGGCTTAATTAGAAAGAATTTGGTGGGGCTTAAATAACACCATTCTTTCTATTTCTTTGTACATTAGTTCATTTGGTAACGGGCTTGGGTGGTGGGTTTGGAGGTATGTATGTTTTTATGTAATTATGTAGTTAACTTATCATTTGATTTTGATTGTAGGAACTGATAAAATACGAGCCTACGCTTTGATATATCTAAAATGAGAGATACACTTAATCCCATGCTTTCTCAGAGATGGAATATCTAAGATTCTTGATAGTAAATAAATCAAAATATACATGCAACAACAATAACGTGCATGGTTTTGAAGGCCTAGAATTTGATTTCACAGAGTTGAGATGCCTCTATTGGATTCTTATCCTTTTACATCGCTGCCTTTGAAAATTTATCTCTAGCCTTGTTGTACTTAAGATGCGTAACAACACTTGAACAACTATGTCTGGTATCAAGGTATGTGTTGATTTCATATAACATTTTTCTTTTATAAATTTTAAATATCAGATTTCTAATTTGTCCTTCTCATATCTTTTTTTTTTTTAATTTTGTTTTTATAGGATCTTCCTAATATAAATATATTGACCTAAGTTGCTCAGAATATCTGCTTAAAGTCCCAGACCTCTCAAAGGCTCAAAATCTAGAGTGCTTGTTTTGGAAGATTGTACAAGTTTGTTTGAGATCACTGCTCCACTCAAAATCTCGATAAACTTGTTAATTTGAATCTAAGAAATTTTAAAAGCCTTACAATCTTCCAATTGGCATTCAATCAAAGTCTTTAAGAGATGTTATTCTCTTTGGCTGCTGTAGTCAACACTTTCCAGATCTCATGTAATATGGACGATTGTGTTTGGATGGATCTGCAATAAAGCATTATCTTCTTCCATCGATTATCCTTCCAGACTAGTTGAATTGATCTTAAGGGTTGTCTAGGGCTTGAAAGTCTTCCAAGCAGCGTTTGTAATTTGAATTCCCTTGGACAGCTTAATCTCTCTGGTTTGTCAAATCTAATGATGGTTCCAGAGATCCCATGCAATATACAGAGTTATATTTAGATGGAACTGCAATAAAAGAGTTGTCTTCATCAATTGAGAATGCATTCATTCTAGTAAGATTAGTCTTAAAGATTGTTCAAGCCTTGAGAGTCTTCCGGATGGCATTTGTAGATTGAAGTCTTTGAAATATCTTTGTATCTCTGGTTGTTCGAACTTGATAGATTGCCTAAAGACATAGGGAATTTAGAAAGTTTGGAAGTGCTAAAGCTACTGGAAATTCTAAGGACTGTTTAAGGCTTGAGAGTTTCCAAGCAGCATCCGTAATTTGAATCTTCGATTGCTCATCTCTCTGGTTTGACGTATCTAAAGATGGTTCCAGAGTTCCCATGGAGGATAGAAGAGTTATATTTAGATGAAACTGCAATAAAGAATTGTCTAAATCAATTGAGAATGCATCCATTCTAGTAATGAGTCTTAAAGATTGTTCAAGCCTTGAGAGTCTTCCGGACGGCATTTGTAGATGAAGTCTCTGAAATATCTTAACATTTCTGGTTGCTCAAATATAAGATGGTCCCGGAGATCCCATGCAATTTAGAGGGGTTACTTTAGATAGAATGACTATAAAAGAATTGTCTTCATCAATTGAGAATGTATCCGGTCTAGTAAAATTGAATCTTAGAAATTGTTCAAGCCTTGAGAGTCTTCCACATGGCATTTGTAAATTGAATTTTCGAAGTACCTTTATATCTCTGGTTGCTTAATGTAAAGATGGTTCCAGAGATCCCATACATTTAATAGAGTTATATTTAGATGGAACTGCGATAAAGAGTTGCCTTCATCAATTGAGAATGCATCCGTCTAGTAATATTGATCTTAAAGATTGTTCAAGCCTTGAGAGTCTTCCACTAGGCATTTGTAAATTGAAGTTTCTGAAGTATCTTTATATCTCGGTGGCTTAAAAATAATGTGGTTCCAGAGATCCCATCTAATGTAAAAGAGTTATGTTTGGATGAACTGCAATAAAAGAACTCCTTCATCAATTGGAACATATCTAGTCTAGTAATAGGAATCTTAGAAATTGTTCAAGCCTTGAGAGTCTTCCAAATGGAATTTGTAATTGAAGTCTCTAAATATCTCTATACCCCTGGTTGTTTGAAGCTTGATAGATTGCCCGAAGAAATAGAAATTTAGAGTTTGGAAGGTCTAGAAGCTAATGGAATTACTATAAGAAAGCACCATCATCTATGGGACGTTTGAAGAATGTTAATGATTTATCTTTTGTGGATGTCAGAGTCAAGAGCTGGTGTGTTCTCTATTGCCTATTTTACAAGGTTTTCTATTTCTAAGGAGATTAATTTAAATCACTGCAGTCTTACAGATTACCCAGTATCTTGGCGAGTTGTCCTTGGAAATCAAGAAGAAAGTTAAAGAACTGAACGAAAAATACAGAGAGAAAACAGAGAGCTGTTACAACAAACTTTACTTTTTGTTAAAGTGTTTTTCCTTAATTGTTGAATCTTGCGCAGACACACTTATAATGCTGATGGTGTCTAAAACGCACCGTTTACATAACTCATCAGAGTTTACAAAATAACCCAAGCCATCTTTGCTATTCTTCCAATTTCACCCCAGGTTTCTACAAACTAAACAAAGCATAAACTGTAATAGAACCAAACAGAGCATGCGAATACAGAAAACAGAAACTCCTTTTACGTCTGACACCTACACTTCATATCACAATATTTCCCCTCAAACTAAACACTCTTGAACCAACAGAAGACTCCTTTAAAGTCTAGCACCTACACTCCATATCACAATATTTCCCCTCAAACTAACATTCTTGAACCATAGAAGACTCCACTGATACGGCAAGAACAAAACTGAGTTACACCCCACTGATACTGTAGATCACAAACACCATTAAACTTCAAACTTAACTACTGCTACTTCCACACTTCATCACAATATTTCCCTTCAAACTAAACTACTGTAACAAGTTCAACTTCACCATTGCATCACATTCTTATTTCACCACTTCATCACAATATTTCCCCTCAAACCAAAAAACTCTAAAAACCACCAAAAACTGACCAGTATTGTTCTGCAACAACATCAAACCACTGCTGCAGTAATAGTTCTCAACAAATCTCTCAAAGTGCTAAAACTGCAGTAACACTACTCTTGACAGTTAACACAGTATTTCCCTTCAAACTAAAACACTCTATAAACACAACTTCTCAACAAAGTTTTTGTTCTGCAAAAACTGACCAGTATTTGTTCTGCAACAACATCACACCACTGCTGCAGTAATTTTCTCAACAAATCATCTCAAAGTGCTAAAACTGCAGTAACACTACTCTTGACAGTTAACACAGTATTTCCCTTCAAACTAAAACACTTCTATAAACACAACTTCTCAACAAAGTTTTTCTCAACATCTACACTTCACCTCTCACAATTTTTCTCAACACTTACACTTCACCACTGCAATAGCTTTATTCAGTAGTACACTGCACAGCAAATCTTCTCAACCTATTTCAACTAAAACACTGCAGTAGTATTATTTTGGCAGATCACAACAACATTCAATTGAGTGCGCGCATACCAAAACGATTACCTGGAAGAGATTTGTTAAAACATCAGCTTTTTGAAATCCTGAAGCTACATACTGTACATTCAGCTGTTTTCGAGCTCTAATTCTCTCACGTAATGAACATGATTTCGATGTGTTTGTTCTGGCGTGAAAAACAGGATTTGCGGAAAGTGCACCAGCACTCATATTATCACACCATATAACTGGTACATTTTTAACTTCATCCCAAGTTCTTTGAAAGATGTTGAGTCCATACAACTTCAGTGGCTGCTTGGCTTAAGAGCCTATATTCATTTCAGTGGACGAAAGTGAGACAACTTTCTTTCGGGAACTCCATTGAACTAAATTACCTGCAAGAAAACAGCATATCCGCTTGTGGATCTCCTACATTCACATCACTTGCCCA